GTATAATAATAAAAATAAAATATGTCAATTAAATAAAACAAAACTGGTAGGTATTATACCTAATTTAAAAATAATACAATTAATGTTTAAAACGAAAAAAACAAAACTGGTACTTATACTACTTAGTATAATAATAATACAATTTTTATTCCTACTACTGGTTCATAAAAATTATTTGCTTAGTTAATTTTTGTCTTTTACTAACAGGATTTAAAATTTCTGTTGAAAACATTTTGCCAAAAGAATGGAGTCGAATACTAAGATATTTTTTAACTAATAATGAAATTAATACCATCTTATGAGGTCTATCTAGCAAAGGAACATTATCACATTGAAGTGTATTAAAAATATTATTATCGAATGCAAATTTATTGTTACATAGGTTTATTATTTTTAAATCAATATTTTTTATATTTAATGATTGTAAATTATTTGTTAAAAGTAATAAAAATGTTTCAGCTTGATAAATTATTTTAAATGCACATTCTGAGGGAGAAACTAACCCACCATTATTTTTAAAATCAACAAATTTTGAATATTCTGCATGATGATGATAACTGTGTTCAGAGAATACTTTGAGAAGTGATTGGATACATGAATTACAGTCTAATAAATGTATGATTTTTTTTAAGGAATAGCCAGTAATATAATATATTATATTTTTTTTTGAGTCATCTTCATAATCAGAATTTGCATTATTTAATAAAGTTGATCTATTTACTATTTCAATTTCTTCACTTTCACTGAAATTATCATTACTTATATTTATATTTTGGTTTTTTTTGTTATATTTAAAGGAAAAAATAGATAATGTTGCGTCATCGTCAAAAGTATTACAGTTACCATGAGAGGAACAAGTTACAGAATTTTTAAGTAGTATTTGTTTTAGTGCCGTTTTAAATTGAATTACATTAGGGTTATTGTTTGCACCATATCGTTGACGTATACGGCCAAATAATAACTCTATGTGGTCCTGAGAAAACCTGTAAGTTAAAATATATTTAAAATTTAAATTTTGGGTAAATATCATTTCAGAAATTTCAATTATGGATTTTACTGCAACTGCAAACCCTATTATAAAAGTTTTTTTATTAGATTTAAAAAGAAATTTATCTTGAAATTTTAAACTATATAAATTATGAATAAATGGAATAATTTTATCTTTAATAAATTGTATGTTAGACTGAAAAATTGGACTTTTATAACCTTTAGAAAACGGAGATCTAGAATTTAAAAAATCAAATATTTGGTCTATAGTTCTGCAAAAGTTAATAGTTTCATCACACCCTGAAAACTGTGTATAGTTATTATCTTTTAAATATTGAAGTGCATTGGCTGTTGAAGAACTCAAAAGTTGTACAGCTGTTTTTACTTTCATTTTATTTTGTTGCCAATTGATATGTACACTGGATATTTTATTTGCAAATTTTAGAGATAAATTAGTTTGTAACTCATGCAAATATTCAAAATAACACCATTTTATTTGCCCTGTCATAGATTCTAAAACTAAACAATTGCCTAAGGTGTTGCGAGCTAATTTTATCATATGACAAGCATCTGGAGTAAAAAAAATTTTTTCTCCATTAATTGGATGTTTAAACCAAGATTTAATTGAATCGAAACTATCGCCAAACTCACATCCTAATAACTTTAGTGTCGAGAAGTTTGTGAATGCTCCATCACATGTAACTCCCCATATGCGCAGTCCTGATTGGTATGCTAAAGTAAGTGCTGTTTTAATCAACTCGGCTTGAACAACGGCATTCACTTTATTTTGTAAAAAATATGCGATTGGCAACTTCCATTTACCGTTCAAACTCACCAACATAAATACTAAAACTTCTGTTGCTGCTGTTTCTGAATTTTCCACACTTACTTCGCCGCCAAAATCACAGTAACCAACAAATTTGTGACTTTTCTTGTCCCAAACAACTTGTTTTTTAATGCTCATTGCATCGAACAACAAATTGCATTGTTTGTCTTCAGGGCTCAAAGTCTTTAATGCTTGGAAAACCTCAAAGAAAAATCCAGGTTCACCGTTCACTGATGAAGTCCACGATCGAATAGCAGTTGGATGAGGAAGTTTTAATATAGTTCTGAAATATATTATAGAATATTTTAAATACCTACATAACTTTTAAGATTATTTTATACCGACCTGCAATATTTATATGCTTTTGGGGAATAGTAATTTAAAGTAAGTGCAAATTTTTTTAAATCATTACTGTATCTTTGACCAGTTGCTTTCTTATTTCGGTTGTTCATCTGATTTCTAAATATTTCCTTGGACATGCCTTCAAATTCATCTAACAATGTGTCATGTTCATTATCTCCAATCAAACCTTTCTTTCTAATACTTTGAAGTAACTCTTTAAGATTTGATACTTTAGTTTTTAGTCTTCTAACTTGTTGACATAGTCTTTTAACTTTACATTTTAGTTGTACTTTTCTTGGAGTTATTGATGTTGCACTTTGAGGTCTACCTCGTTTTGGTGTTGTTAATAATGCTTTGAAAGGGCTATTGCTGTACGAATGTTCAAACTTTATTTGTCTTTTAACTCTTTTAGGTGTTATATGACATTCCTCACAAGAATTATTTATACTTAAATCAATGGGACTTTCATAAACCTCTATAGTACCCGTGTTGTCTATTTCTTCTGCACTTTTTGTGAGGATTTGATTTTGAGTACAAAATACGGATGGAACAGCATCATTTTTTAAGTGTAAACGTTGCCCATTAATATTTTTAAAATCCGACTCAAGGAAATGTTTACTGCATATCCTGCTATATTTTGTAGGAACAAATCCTTTTATTTGTATTGCATCTGTCCACTGTTTTGTTATTTGTTTATTTAATAAAGGAAAACTAAAAACAAAAGATAATGTATACGTTTATTTAAACACGCATTTTTCAAAATGATACTTACGAAAAAAAATGAATACCACTATTTGCAACTCTTTTACTACTGCATTTCCAAACACAGCAAAAATAAACCATTTTACCTAACTATAAAGAATAATTTACTTATGCCAAAAAATTACAATACAACTACTGAAATTACTTATACAAGACAGCTAATTATTGTATAATGTCTTCTGTAAAAAATGGTTGTCATAATAAGTATAATATATCAATCTATTTATATTTATCAACAATATGTTAGATATTATAAGTTATAATAATATATATATAACTAAAGTTATTTAATATTTTCATATAGCATTTTGGTGTGTGTCTTTACATACTCTATACACAACAATGTTTTTCCCTCAACTATAAATTAATTAATCAAAATCATTCTTATATCTTAGTAAAATTAAATCGTATTTTACTAATATATTTTGTAATTTGTAATACATGTTTGAAAGTTTGGATTCCCGCCATAACATTATCACGGTTTATCACGGTTTATCATAGTTTATATTTTGTAAACATTCACCTCTTAGATAAGAGAATTTCGGCCATTTTGTTGGCTTCATAATCATTACATTGCGGGAATAGGGAGTCGTCTATCTAGTATTTTTA